AAACAAAAAACCCCATAACTGCCCTCAAAGGCTGTACTGGATAGCACATGGCTCTTCTAGCCCTGACTTTTTACTTCGATGCACCCCCAACTCTTCTCTCAGACTGAGCAGCAAAAGGAGTGTAAAGGGCTCTATCACCCCCTATTCCCATTTTGGGTATTTTCAACAGGTACCAAATCAGACTGTGAAAAGTACTGAAGGCAGAGGTCTCTGGACCCAAACAGTAAGTGGCCCTCTGCTCAAGCACCAGTGCCAACTAGTCAGGAAAAGGCTGCTATGGTTGGCGCTTCCACCAGCAGGGGGCACCACATCCAGAGCATCTATACATGTAAGAAAGTTCATGTAAGATCTCCCTGGCACTGACCACCCAGCCTGCCAGGGTACCCTAAAGCACCTGTTTAGCAGCCCTGGTGGAAAGACATACTGAAAAGTGTGATCTGAGGGCTGGAGAGATTAGCTGCTCTTGTACAGGACCTGGGTTCAGTTTCCAGCACCCACATGGAAGCTAATAACTATCTATTAACTCCAGTTCCATGGGATCCGACATCCTCTTCTGACTTCCATGAGTACTGCACACATGGAGGCACTTACAAAATGCAGGCAAAAGACATTCACATAAAATAAAAATAAATAAAAATGTTTGAAAGTGTGGATCTGCACCAAAAACTCCAGAACATTATAAGGGAATACTTTAAAAACCTATACTCTATTAAATTTGAATACCTAAAAGAAATGGGTATCTAAAATCATGGGAACCACCAAAGTTAAAGCAAGAAGAGATCAACAGTTTAAGCAGTCCCATAACATATAAGGAAAGTGAAATAGTAATACAAAACTTCCTGACTAAAAAAAGCCCAGGCCCAGTTGGATTTACAGCAGAATTCTACCAGACATTTAAAGAAGACCTCCAACCAATACTACTTAATTTATTCAAAAAGATAGAAACAGAGGGAGAACTCCCAAATTCCTTCTATGAGGCCAGCATCACTCTAATACCAAAACCAGATAAAGACAACCAAAACAGAAAACTATAGACCCACATCCTTAATGAACATAGATGCAAAAATTCTCAACAAAATACTTGCAAGCTCCATACAGATGTATATCAAAAAGATCATTCACCAAGATCAAGTAGGCTTTATTCCAGAGATGCAGGGATGGTTCAAAATACACAAGTCAATAAACATCATAACATCATATAAATAGACTCAAAGACAAAAACTACATCGTAATTTCAATAGATGCAGGAAAGGCCTTCAACAAAATTCAACATGTGTTCATGATAAAAGTTCTAAAGGGAATTGGACTTGAGGGAACATACCTCAACATAATTAAAGCCATATACAACAAACCCACATCATTCTAAATGGGGAAAAACTGGAAGCATTTCCACTGAAATCAGGAACTAGACAGAGCTGTCCACTGTCTCCACTCCTTTTCAACACAGTGCTTGAAACTCTTGCTAGAGCAATAAGACAAGAGAAGGAAATTAAAGGAATACTAATTGGAAGAGGTCAAATTACCCCTTTGTGCAGATGATACGATACTATACCTAAGAGATCCCAAAAATTCCACCAGAAAACTACTAGAACTGATCAACGCTTTCAGTAAAGTAGCAGGTTACAAAATTAATCTACAAAAATCAGTAGCCTTTTGGAGGCTGAAGAGATGGCTCAGTGGTTAAGAACACTGACAAGCAGGGTGTCCCTGTAGCCCCAGCTATCCTGGAACTCACTACGTAGACCAGGCTGGCCTTAAACTCACAGAGATCCACCTACCTCTGCCTCCCAAGTGCTGGGACTACAGGTGTGTGCCACCATGCCCAGCTAAGAACACTGGCTGTTCTTGCAGAAGACCCGGGTTTGAATCCCAGCACCCACATGGCAGCTAACAACTGTCGGTAACTCCGGTTCCAGGGAATCCGACAGTCTCTTCTGTCCTCCACAGGCATTGCACCACACGGGTACACTTACCTACATGCAGGCAATATACACATACAATAAAAATATAACAAAAAAATATTTAAAAATCAGTAGCCTTTCTATATACCAATAACAAGCAATTAGAGAAAGACTACAGGGAAACCCTCCCATTCACTGTAGCCCCCCCCCAAAAAAAATCTTGAAATAAGCCTGACCAAAGACATCAAAATCTCTACAACAAAAATTTTAAATCTTTAAAGAAAGAGATTGAGGAAGACACCAGAAGATGGAAGGACCTCCCATGCTCATGTATTGAAAGAATTAATATTGTGAAAATGACCATCCTACCAAAAGCAATATACAGATTCAATGCAATCCCAATAAAAATCCACAGCGAGTATAGCTGAAGACTACATAACAAGAAACAGTTCCAGATAAGAGAAACCTTCCTTTGAGTTGTTGGCCAGGGTAGTCCAAGAGACTCCCAAAATTACACAGGCTATTGCCACAATCCTTGATTGCCTCCCAGAACTTGATGGTAAGACCCTATTGCTGAAGACAGAACATACTTTGGACACAGAACTTGGAGTGATGGAACTGGAACTGACGTGGAAGCCAGCTCTGCTGAAGATTTAGCTCATAAGTTTAGAGAGCACTACACAAGCAGGTAAGGGAGAACATCAATGGTCCAACCCTAGCTTCAAGGCCTAAAAAACATATCAGTACCCAGCACAGCAAATGACATTGGTACAGTAGTGGCACTTTTATATTGGGGGTAATCAACAGCTACCTAACTGGACTTAGAGCCCACTCAATGGGAGGAAATTCATGTCTGATACTGTAAACCTAGTCAAATACATATAGCTAGAGAAGTCATAGATCTTCGAGAAAACCCCAAGGCTCTCATATCCTTAGATAAATGTAATTTCTTACTATGTGCAAAATATGGATCCTTAAATGTACAGACAAGTATCCCAGTCACCACCCATCAAAGTAGCTTTTTCTTTTCTTTTTTTTAAAATATTTTTTTCACGCTAGGTGTGGTGGCACACATCTTTAATCCCAGGCAGGCGGATATCTGGGAGTTCAAGGCCAGCCTGGTCTACATAGTGAGTTCCAGGTCAGCTGGGGCTACAGGGAGACCCTGTCTCAAAAAGACAAAAAAAAATAATTTTTTTTTCATATTTTATTATTTTTATTTTATGTGTGTGTGTATTGCCTGCATGTAGGTAAGTGCACCCGTGTCATGCAAGGCCCACAGAGGACAGAAGAGGGTGTCAGATCCCCTGAAACTGGAGTAATGGACAGTTGTTAGCTGCCATGTGGGTGCTGGGTCTTAAGAACACTAACACAGTTAGTGTTCTTAACTGCCGAGCCATCTCTCCAGCCCCCAAAGTAGCTTCTTTTTCAACAGAGATTATTAGAGTTACACACAGTTACACACTGGTCACACACAGAGAATCTCTGCACCTAAGACTCAGGAGACATAGAACAAGGGATGAAGAGAACACTAATGCATCTTTCAATCCTCATCAATGAAGCTCCCTCATGCAAGAGGGCCAGGAACACAAAAGGCCACAAATGGCCAACACTCAGAGAATAAGAGCCGGCAGAGCATGGGTCCTTGGACAGGACTCCTATGTTGAGGTCCACCCACCCAGGGCTCAGGGACCATTTCGGAAGAGGGGGTGGAAAGATTGTAAGAGTCAGGGAGGAGGTGCATGACCATATGGAAACAGTCCTATAGGCACCTGGGACCCTTCTCATACAAACCTACAATAATGGTGTCAGCATGCACAAGACCCAAGCAAACTTAGGCAAAAACCCAGCACAGAACTGTGGAAATGAACAGCAAGCCCCAATCTTAGTGGAAGAATTAATGGCAGCTACTTACTGCTGGGTAACGAAAAGATGATCTTTTTGAAGGGAGAGACTCTAGATAGGCTGACTAAACCCCTGTGGATGAACTTGCACTGAGGGACATCTCAGGACACTAGCTTTACATAATAGGCCTTAATAGAAATGACAGAATGTATGAACTCGGGGGGGGGGGGGGGCTATGGGGGGGGGCCAAAGGGGAAGAGGGTATAAAGATGATTTTCTGTATGAAATACACAAAAATTCAATACAATTTTTTAAAAAAAAATAGTAATCAAGAAAAAAAAAAAAGATACAACCAGAGGTATGGGAAATTGCACTTAATTTGGAATGACTAAAATAAAAGACCAGTGAGACCAACTGACAGGTAATTAGGCTAAAAGATAATCACCATAAAATATTAAAGTAGTATGTGTGATAAAAAGTGTGGATCTGCTCTCCTTGGGCCTTGGTCCTGTCCTGCTGAGGCTGCCAGAGTGCCTGACTAGTAGGGACAAGTGTACCTTTCACTGCTTATCAAAAAAGCTTCTTTTTGCGACTGATGGAAACTACTACAGTTACAGAACTGGTCAAAGTAGAGAATAAGTGTCTCTGAAACACCTACCCCTAAATGACACACCTTCAAGGCAACCTCTACACATAGGATGAATGCATATCTCACCTCTCACCAGAGAAGTTTCCTTATGCAGCAGATGGTAATTAACACAGAAACACACAATTGGCCAATGTGCAGAGAAAAGGAGACCACAGAGTGCTTATCCCTGAATAGCGCACCTATATCAAACCTCTGCAGATAGGGGAGGGGATCTAAATACCATCAAATTGTAATGTATAAAAAAATCACAAAAATTCAATTAAAAAGTGTGATCTGCAGAGGTTACTGGCACAGTGGGGCTTCCTTCCCCCTCCACATATCCCAGCCCATAGGACTAGTCTTGTACACTAGTTTTCCTGGCATGTGAGCTTCCTAACCTCATCACTGCTGTTTTTAGAAACAATTGTCTGGGGTTACTGAGCAAGTAACATCCAAGCACACCTGAGGCCATGTTGATATGGGGCAGAGGCACAGCTCATTTAAAGGCAAAGAAAGGATCACATACCAACCAATGTGTTCCCAGCACCTCCGTTTGCTAGCTTCGTAGGTAAGTGCAGCTTCCCACAGGTCCAAATCTGGGGTCATGCTTGGTTCAGACTGGGAGTCAGGAGTTAAATTGGAAGCTGACTGGAACCCTTCATCTTCCCACTGATCTATACTCTGAGGGACCTGGAGACCACAGGGAACAGTAATTCACCATCAATCTCTTTGTGTACGAATTCATACAAGTAAGATAACATTCTGGGGACTTTATCCATTTATTCCCTAGAGGGACAGACAAAGCAAAATATTCTAGCTCTCCTGAAGGCTCCTATGTACTACGTAATGCCACTCCTCCAAAATGAATCACTTAATTAAGCAAAATTGCATGTTGGCGGCACACGCCTTTAATCCCAGGCAGAGGCTGGTAGATCTCTGTGAGTTCAAGGCCAGCCTGGTCTACATAGCGAGTTCCAGGACAGCTGGGGCTACAGGGAGACCCTGTCTCAAGTATTAATTTTAATTTCATGTAATATAATATATAGCCTCAATAAAACCTATAATTTACTATGTTTCTAGGAAGCCAGGGATGTAGCTCAGTGGTAGAGCACCTACCTTGCATGTGCAAGGTTCCATTCCCAGTACCCCCTTCAAATCTATAAATGTCTCTGACCAGGAAATTCTGTTTTATGGAAAACAGCAAAGAAACTCATATTAGAAATTCAGCATTCTGGAGACTGAGCAAAAGAATCTCTGTAAGTTTAAGGCCAGCCTGGGTTACAGAATGAAACCCTCCACTGCTCAGGAAAAAAAGAAAATTAGATGAGACCTGGAAAAATGTTTGTACACCAAGATGTTTACTTTAGCACCACTTATATTTGGAAACAACCTAAATCTTTCATAATTAGAGAATGACTCAATAACAGTGTATCCTTTTCATGGCATTTACAAAGTAGTAAGATACAAGATGCAATGACAATTTACTCAGTGACTGGGAAAAAAGCCCCATGTTAGAGAATGGTAAAGCAAACCAACCAGTAACAATGAAGTGTTGCTTCTCCGATGAATAAAAGGGTTTCTTTTTCTTTCTTTTTTTTTTTTTTTGGTCTTTTTTTGAGATAGGGTCTCCCTCTAGTCCCAGCTGACCTGGAACTCACTATGTAGACTAGGCTGGCCTTGAACTCCTCAAGAATGTTTTATGTGGGGATGGCCCAGTGGTTAAGAGCAGTGGGTGTTCTAGGATTTCTTTTTTAAAAAATATTTTTATGGAGCTGGAGAGACGGCTCAGCGGTTAAGAGCACTGTCTTGAAGAGGATCCGGGTTCGATTCCCAGCGCTCACATGGCAGCTACGAACCGTCCTTAACTCCAGTTCCGGGGGAATCCGAAGCCCTCGTCTCACTTCTGTGGCATTGCACAACAATAAAAATAATAAATAAAATATTAAAAATTTAAAATGTTTTTATTACTTTTTATTTGGGTTGGTAAATACATGTATATTTACCTTTTATTATTTTTTAGTATCTTGTATATTATTTTTATTTTATGTGTATGCATGTATTGCCTGTATGTAGGTTAAGTGCACCCGAGACTGCGTGCAATGCCTGTGGAGGGCAGAAGCTGCTGCCAGATTCCCTGGAACCGGAGTTACAGACAGTTGTTAACTGCCATGTGGGTGCTGGGATTTGAACGCGGGTCTTCTGCAAGAACAGCCAGTGTTCTTAACCACTGAGCCATCTCTCCAGCCGAGAATTTCATTTTAATTTAAATTAACATAACTAGAGGGCAAAAGTGACTTAACAACATGCCCCTAGGATAAAAGATGAAAAGCTCTATACTGTTTTGGCCTGCAGGTGAGCAGCAAGCACATCCCTGTGGAGCTCAGTACCCGTCAGCCAGCCCTCTTCGGAAGCTCTGCCTCGTGACAATCTGATTACCCGATGCTCTGGACATGAGTTTTCTAGCGTAACCATGGTAAAAGATCAAAGACGACATTTTGAAAACCTTTAGAGATACTGAGGGAAAAGAAATCCTACCGTAATGGCCAGTCCGGAGAAGTCTGCGCTGTCTGGCACTGGCGGCAGATCCAACCGCACATCCATATCATACGTGCGACAGTGCACAAGACCACCAAAGAGCGAGACTCGGGTGTCTCTCACAAACCTGTCACAAGGGTCACTAGTGGAGAACTGCCCAACAGTGGGCAGGCCGGTGCCCGGGGCAGCCTCCATCACCTGCAGTGCTTCCTGGATCGTGTTATGACACAAATACTCCTCTCCGGAGATTAGCCACTGCATGTCCATCTCAAACACACTCAGGCCGTCGCAATCATAACCGCTGTAGGGAACGTTTCTGCCTGCGTGCTTGTTGTTAAAGAAGTAGTCCCGTTTTCTCCGCAGCGTTTGCGGGGGGCCGCTCCCCGCCAGCTGAACCAAGAGGTCCAGCACCGACCCCACCTCCACGAACGGACCGGGAGCTGCCTCCAGCTTCTCCACCAGCTCCTCCAAACGGTCGGCCTCGGGGCCCAAGCCGCTCACCCGCAAGTCGAAGGACAGCATGAGGACCTTGTTCTTCACCGGGAGTTTCTGCAAGTCGGGCTTCCGCTCACGAGGCTCTTCTAGAAAAAGGTTCGTGAAAAGAGCACCGTAGGCCACCCTCTTGAGGCCCAGCTTCGCCCTCTTCCTGCTCACGCTGCGCTGGCCCGGACGAGCCCGAGCAGCAGGTAAGAGGGTCTCGCAAAGGTCATCGAACAGCTGGGTGATGCTGGCCATGCTCAGTCTTCCAGCCCTGGGCCTCCGACCAGTAAGCCTCGCCCCTGGGGGCACCTCACGCTCCGGAAGACCGGAGCGGTTGCGGGGCCGGAGCCGCGGGGCTGGTGGCCTAATCTCCCGACATTCCGGAGCTGCGCTTCTGCGTCTCCGGCTTCGCGGCCAGGGGCCACGGGGTGCTCCCGCCCAGCCGTCAGCGGCCACCCGGCACTCGGCCACTTGGCACTCGACCTTGGGCCTGCGGGCGGGGACCAGCCTGCCAACGGAATGCGCACAGCCTCGCGAGCGCGGACCAGCCGACAGGCCCGCAGGCCCGGGGAGCCGCAACTGGGACTCCCGCCGTCCAGGCGTCGTCAGATCCCTGCGACCGTAGGCAATACCAAAGCGGGCGCGCCGGAATTGCGTCACTGGGGCGTGACAAGGCCAGGTGGCGGGGCGGAGCCGGGTGACGGGGAGGGGCTTCCAGTCTCGCAGCGCTTTACGGCCGCAGAGGCCAGCGCAGTGGGATTCCCACTGGATGCGAGCCAAATAAAGGAGGCTGAGGCGGGCTTTGTCTAACCGACTTTTATTGTTCCGTAGGTAGGGAGCGTGGGCGGGCTGTCGAGGGGACGTAGATCTCTGGGGCCCGAATGCGCTCTTCTCCAGAGACAATCACCGAATTCGACCGATTTCAAGCTACCAGAGAACACGGCCCTGGAAGAGGGGCTGGGAAGCGCACAATTGGAAGCTGGCTCACCAGTAGCTTTAAAGTGGGGCCACGCCTCCCCACTCACCTCACCTGCCACCTGCAGCAGCTTCCACTGGGGCTCCAGCTTCCCTTTTAGATACATCAGGGCCTGGATGTCCTTTGGCGAGGCCATCAAGAAAGGGCCCAGATTGGGAGGTGCTTCTCCATGCAGCACCCGTGCCAGGGTCCTTACAAGGTGGGGTATGGAATCCTGGCCGGGAGAAGGGGGAGATGAGGGGTATACGACAGGACACATAAGGGAGCAGTGAGACAACGTGGTTTCCCTCTACCTCCCACATTACATTCCGCCTGTCCATTTTGCTCAGCTTACCTCCTCCACTAGAGCCAGAATTCGACCCCCTGCTGGTCCCCGAAGCATTGCAGTCAAGAGAGCAGCGTGGGGGTCCTGCAGGCCATGCGCAGGCCCCAGGGACACCAGCACCATGTCAGGCTGAAAGCCATAGGCCAGGGGCAGTACCAGACCCAAGATGCAGCTCAGAAACCCTCCGGTGGTCTGTGGGGACAGCATCAGACCCTGGGTTCTCATTTAGGGGACACTGCTGCTGACTCCTGACATCCCACCCCCAAGCCTCTGAGTTGTGAGCAGGAACCCAGGAAGAGCCAGGAACAGTGAGCATCTCTTCATCACCACTCACCCCTGGCAATGGAGTGGTAATGTGGAACATTGACTGGGTGGCTGCCTCCTCACCGGTGATATTCAGCCACAGAATTCTCCTTTCCAGGAAAGAGCATCATGGATATGTGCACATGTGCATGAGGCCCTGCTGAACCCCCTGAGCTCAACAACAGAGGACACAGGACAGCTCGAGCCCCAGCAGGGACAGGGACAGGTGTATGGCATCTGGTATGGCACTGGCCTCAGGGTATCCCTCTCAAACTGCACTATGGAAGGCCCCCATTCTGTACTACACAGTGCCCCCACCAAACAGTAACCCCCGGATCCCCAGTCATATGCCTGTCATCTGTTCATCCACATGCACAACCAGGGAGATGTGTAACCCAAGAATCATACCCGTCATCTGCAAGGTCCAGCGGTCGATCCAGCTGTCCTAGGGCCACACAGAACAGCCTAAGGAGGGGTTAGCCCCAATAGACTGTGCTCACACTGCCCAGAATCCATTTCCAGGGCTCTCCCCATGCCATCAGTGGAGTTGGGTACTCCCAGGTTCTTGGAGACTCAAGGAAACCAAACAAGGCTTACCTCTGAGCTCCGAGGGATAGGCATCTTTGTATGATCACACCCAAGGTAGCTGCTGCAGCAAGGGCAGGCATAGCAGCTAAGCCACTGTTTACCTGTGGGACGAATAGATGGCCGGGGAGCCTAGAGGCCACACCCCCACGGAGCACTTCAGGAGTCAGGACCAATTACCAAACCAGATAAACAGACCCATTTGTTCTGTGTTTTGGTCCTGTCCAAATGGTTGCTACTGACTTTCCCTACACTCTTCAGGTCAAATTACCTCACCACTATGAACAAGATGCTTTAACTTGTCTACTTCCTCTCTGTCAAAGAGTATTTTCCTTGTGAGACCCTGCACAAACTATCAAGTCAGTCCTCCGTACAGGCCACACCATCCCCAAAAGCCTACCTGCCCATCCAAGATTCCATCTAAGAGATACAAGATCTTCTCCAGTGCAGCAAGAGCCTTGTCCTGGAACAGAGACTCATGTGGCCTGTAATAGGTAGACCAGAAGGACACAGAGAAACAAAAGGACAATGCATCAGTCATTCAGGCACAGGCATGAACACAGTCCCATCCCCAGACCTGCTCTCCTCACCTGACCCAGGCTTTTGTCTCCTCTCTCAAGGGTGACCCCTCTTGATGGAGCACTCCAGGGGGTAAGGCCAGGGTAGCAGCTGGCACAGTCAGAGCAACAGCTGTGTGGACTGGAGGTGTGGGGCAGAGGGCCAGTCGGTCTAGAAAGGGGCTCAGTCTGTCTCCAGCTACCTCGTTTGTGGGATCCTCAGAAAGCAGGGGCAGGGACCTCCCCTCTGAGGAGTAGGTGCTGGGACTCAGCACTGGAGCCACATCTAAGAGAAGTTCAGAATGACAGCCACCAAATAGAAGCCCAAAGTTGACCCACCAGCCCAGGTTCAGGCTGACCTTGTTGGAGGCTTGTCCAGTGAGGGGCCTGGGCTGCCCGGACACGCTGGATGGACTCCAAGGCACTGTGGGAAGAAGCAGAGCTGGAAACCTGCCTTCTACCTCAACCCCCCACCCCCAACTCCAGTCCTCAAACCTCTGACAGGGCATCATGGGCCCCAGCAGGGGAGGTGTGGAGTCACCCAGCAGTGTCTGTACCATCATGCACACTGACTGTGCCAGGGACTCCAGGTGGTAGCCACCCTAGGAGGAATGTTAAAACAGGACAGGGAGGGGTGTCACTGGTATGGCTGGCTGTTCTGGGCAGAACACCCCACCAGACTGCACCTTGCATCTGGCTCCCACACCCTCCTCTGGCCCTTGGGCTTCCTGGCTGCCCCCTAGTTACCTCCAGCACAGCACAGACCCGGCCTCCAGCCAACACCTGTAGCAGCTGTGTGAGGTGAGCAAAGCACTCAGGTGTGGCCTGCATCTGCCCCTGAAGCAGAGTGAGCCATGTAATGATGGGAGCCTGGGCCCAGGACCCTAGATCATTCCCCAGCCAGATAATACTCTCACCTCAGGGTCCCCAATGGCTGAGTCAAATCCTGCTGAGACCAGCACCAGCTCAGGGTCAAACTATAGGCAGAGCCCAGTGAGGACAAACAAAAGAGAGCCAAAGTCCAGGTAAAGGGGAGGCCTCAATGCTGCCCACCTCACATAATGCCAGCCCTTTCTGAGACACCTCTAGCACCCAGGCTCCAATCATGCACTAAAGGGAATGGCTTACAGTTCTCCTGCCTTCATAACTCTGGGTGGGCCTAGAGTCTCCTTGCCCTAGGTTATACCCACCATACAGTCACCTCAAAGGCCAGGGGGAGCAGCACATTCAGGAAGGCAGCCAAATAGTCAGCATTTCCCATCCCGACCTACAGCAGGGGTGGAAGGGACATCAGAGGGCCAACCCTACCAATGAGGACTTTGGGCTCTTCAGCTCTAGAAACAGAACTCTGGGGGAACTCTTGCAGGATGCCCCAGGTAGTATTTGAAGGCCCAGAGCTGTGGGGCCAGGGAGGTGGGCTGAGTGGAGAGCCTAGGGAGTGGAGGGCTTGGCACCTGGTTCCAAGGCAGATTGACAGTGAAGCCTCGGCCCTGCCCCTGTCCAACTGCATCAGCATCAGATTCTTGAAGGAATGGCCAGAAACACCCATGCTCATAGCGGTGCCAAGAGAAGTAAAGGACACTGTAGACAATTGGTTAGGTCAGAAGTAAGGACCCTGAGCACTTCCACAGCTTCTCAAAGAACCCTGACTCCTAAGACCCCCTAGTCGCCCCCTTGAATTTTACCCCCAAAGTGGTATGTTGCAAAGAAGTGTTGTGTTCACACCCCAGCTCACCTGGGGTCATCACTGAAGATATACTGGGTCCCTTGACCATGGTGGACATCCCAATCGACAATGAGGATCCTGAGTTCAGACAGTGCTGATCATTAAGGGTTGGCATCTTTCTACCTCCAGGCTAGGAGTCTAGCCAGGGATGGAGGGGGCTGGGTGGGATCCCTTGACCACCAACTCCACCTCTGCCTATCTGGCCTAGTCCCCCATCCTTGCAGCAAGAGCTTGGACACACCTGTTCAGTCCGTATTTCTGCTTGGCATGTTTGGCTGCTATAGCCACATTGTTGAACACACAGAATCCATTGGCAGCTGCCCTCTGGCTGTGATGCCCTGGAGGCCTGATGGGGGAGTGTAACAATGGAGTATAGGGCATGTCAGAGTCATTGTGTCTCCTCACAGGACCCCACACAGGGGATAGTCTGGTGAGGGAGGCAGTTCTCACCTGACCAGGGCAAGCCCATTCTGCACAGTTCCTGTAAGCACAGCATCTACCAATTGCAGTGCAGCCCCCACAGCCAGCCGGGCACAGTGAAACGTACTCTGTGGAGCAGAGAGCAATTTAGTCCCCTGACAGACCTGCTTGTACCAGGCTACAGGTTGTCTACTGCTAAGGAGACAGGGCTGGGTCAACAGCAAGCAGAACATAGTAGGACACAAGTCACAAGCACGAACAAGCAGACATTGGCAGGTTGGCAGCCATGGTGTGAACACACATAGGCAGGAGGATGTGAATCTGGGTAGGTGAATGTGTATGCTGGCACTCACCGGGTGGAAGTAAACAGCATCAAACTGTTTAGACAGTGCCTGGAGTTCTCCCTGGTCCAGGGTCTGAGTCTTCCGCACCAGGGCTACATATTCCTGGCTACAGACCAGCAAGCAGTCCACCAACAAGAGCAGGAAGGAAAGAAGGAGCTGGGGCTCCTGGTGGAAATGCCAACCCAGTGCTCCCCCATGCCTTTGAGCCCATACCAGGGTGAAACTGAGGGGATGCCGGCAAGGCTAGCAGAGGCTCAGGCCCCTAGCCAGTCATAATCTGACCTGTGCACCAAGCCCAGCTCTTCCTCTGATGCTTTGTAAGCTGACAAGCGCAGGCACCTCTGCTCTAAGCCCTGCTGCCGCAGGCCATCCAGGGCTGCAACCAGGCGCTCCGGGCACTCAATCTCGCACTCCGGGCTGGAGTTGACAAAGATCTCAGTGTCCAGTCTCCTCCCAGCCCCCTATTTCTGTTAAGTCACACTTACTCATCCCAGAGCAGCCGGGTGGCCGTCATGTCCTCGTGGTACACGAGTGCGGTCCCCATGGCTACACCGTGGTCACTTTGCTCCACTCTGGCTTAATAAAACGCCTTCTGCTGGCAGGTGCCTGCACTGCCCGCTTCCCACCTTGTAGCACGTTTAGAAAAAGTCTCACGCTTTGGGGCAGAGGCCAGGAGCAGACGCTAGACCTGGGCAAGAACACACCAGCGCAGGCCCAGGCCCAGATAGAGGGCAGAAGCGCACTTAGAAGGGACCAAACCTAAGCCGGGTCCTCCGCGTGGCTTCCAAGGCCAGACTTCCGGCTTCCTCCAACTCAGCTTGGTCCCGCCCTGCCCGGAGAGCCCCGCCCCCAAGCGAGGTTAGGGTTGGGTCCGCTGTTGGACTGAGCCCGCCAGGGTTCCGCCAGTGTCCCAGGATCTGGTCTCTCCATCTCGGGCCCCAACTGTAGTGACACCTTCTTCAACATGTGGCACGGACCCTGCCGCCGCCAGACAGGTAGGAAGACCGGGCCGCTTGTCCTCAAGCCCTCCCGATGTCACTGCCCCAGCAGTCTTAAGAACATACTCCCTTCTATCCCCAACATCGTCCAACCTGATGGTTCAGGTCACAGGTTCAGACCAGTCACCAAGCGCGTCCAAGTTGCATGTTGCCCCAGATAGAGGAAGGGGGGAAGGGCAGGTATACCCGGCTGGTCTGAGCTGAATATTGCACAGGGCCACTGCTAAGGAGCTTCAGGAGACTGCCAAGGTCAACAGGCTCCAGAAAGAGAGCAGGTGAAAAAGGAAAGAAAAGGGTTAGGGTGGTGGTTAGGGAGACAGGAGGGCAGTAGTGTCTGGCCAGAAGGGCAGAGGATCTGAGGCAGGTACAGGAATAGAGAGGGAGGGCCCAGAAGAAAGAACCAAGTGTAAATCTCAGAGTAAGGTGGTGCATGTCAGTATTTGAGACAGGGTCTTGTTATGTAGCCCAGGCTGGCCTCCAACTCCACAGTCTCTGAAGTGCTGGGATTAGATGTGTTCCATCACACTTTACAGAGCAAGATGGGGAGGAAGGGGAGTGGGGTGGCAGAGGAGGCCAGGGACAGGAGACTGTCATCTGCATGGGAAATGGAAGGGCCCTGAAGGCCTTAGAATGGGGACGTAGACACAACAGGCTCACTAGGAAGTTGGGAGCATGTCCCCAGGTTCTGGTCAGTCCCAGGGCCCTTCCTGATCCTGGAGAGCAAAGGTATAACCACCCTGGATCACGTGTCTCATAGGATGAGGGATGTAGGGGGCCACCCCTCCTTAGTGCATGAAGGATTTGATGTTCTGGCCCTACTCCACACAGGGGATCAGGCAGAGGTGGCCAGCAGCATGCAGTTGTGGCAACTCATCTGACCCAACAAATTGTATTTGCCCAGAACTCCTTGCCAATGATGGGGAATATAAGCCCCACCCCACCTCTCTACCCTGCTCTGAATGCACCTGCCCTTGGGACTGATGGGAAAGCCCATGGACCATCTAACCAACCCAAGCGTGGCCTCTGACAGGGCATAGTCCTAGATAATGTCCAGTGGCCCCCAGATGACCATGTGCACTCAGGGGAGATCAGGACACTGCAGGTGGAGAGGCAAGTGGTTGGTCAGAGATCAGAACCCATCTCTCTAGGTCTTGGAGAGCTTCTGAGGGCAAGGGTACCACACCGGGCATAGCATGTCTTCTCCCTCTTGGGGAGCTTTGGCCATAGGATACTGGATGCTCAGTGGGGAAGGAGGGTCTGGCTGGGTCTAACACTCTTCCCCATCTCCAGAGACACACTCCTCAGACTCTAAACCTAAATTAGAGTACAGTCACCAAAGAAGGGAGGGAGGTCAAGCCCTAATGTGGCAGCTTGGGGAATCACCGATATAGGGCAAGGGATGTGAGTGTAGCACTTTGGCCTGGGCAGAATCAGGTGCTTGGCCTCCACTGGCTGGGAGGCAGGGTCCTCTGGCTACCTCCTTTCTGTGTGCAAGGCAGCAGCTCAGAGAACTGATGAAGACTCAAGCATCAGGCCACACAACCATAATGGGAGGTCTACAAAAGGGTTTATTTCCTCCCAGCCAGATAAGCACACCAAATGGCTGGTTTATATTCCAGTCCGAGGGTACAGGAGAGTTCACCCCCACCCTGGGAGAGATGATGTCCCTGAGTCAGTCCCCCAAACCTCCATCTCCTTCTTTCTCAGGAATTGGCTATGGCACTGTCCAGAGCAAGCAGAGCTCAGAAGCCTGCACTTGGCCTCTGAGCACTGCCAGCTCAGGCTTCTTAATGTACCCTGGTGAAGGGGGCACAACCTCAGAGGTCAAAGCCAGACCTAGACTGGAAGCTCAGATGTTCCATCAAGGTGAGCTGGGGGGACACCCAAGAGTGGAGGAGCAGGCTTGGAGAAGGAGGGGGGTCCATGGTTCAAGGGTCTATTCTCCAGGTAGACAACTTGAGATACAAGCCCCAGGCACTATCAGAAGGCTAACCAGGATTCCTCTTCTAGGAAAGGGAAGTAAAGGTGCTTGTGAAACCCCAGTCAGCTTCCTTAGGATGCCCTCATACCACCCTGAGGTCTTCATAGAGCCGTCTCCTTTGGGACCCTGGCCCCCAGCTGCCTGGGAGGCTTGAAACTGAGCACTTCTTTGTAACTGACACCTGCAGAGGGGTAAGAGGCAGATGGGACAGTCAGTCAGCTTTCACTCAAGGGTAGAAGCCAGCATCCCATGAACCCTTAATATAATCCTAACTGGGCTGGTTTACTTAGGGACAGTTTGTGGGAAGATTACTATAAAGTTGGATTTTCCCAGGAAAGCAGGTGATGGGAGCTTGTGTTCTGTCTGTGAACTCCGCCATGTGTCCACCATGATCTATGGTAAAAGCAAAAGTTGCTAACCACAGCATGTAGGTGGAGACCACAGAGCGGATCCTGTGGCCTGTGGTTTTGGAGTTATCGTGTTTAGCAGCAGAAGAGTTTCATCACACAGAACCAAATTCATAAGCACATGACACAGAACAGAAGGGTGGAGTGCTTTCCAGGGGTGAAGAACCCTGACAAACATGATTTGTGAACCTCAATCCATCCAGTCTTCTGCAGATTGGGGTGCAGGAACAAGGCCTGGGGTCTGAGGCAGACAAGACAAGGGATGGCATGCACCAGAGGACATGTCCTCAGACCCCCCTCCCTCCTAGGCTCGACCTGCCATTCTGGAGCAGACCAGAGGCTAGTTCTGACTCAGGGAACAGTATGAAGGCTGGTAGACCTTCTCTAAGCCCAGCTCGAGATCAGTTCTCAAAGATGAAATGAGGGTCCTCAGTGTAAGAGCCTGGAAGTTCAGCACATAGCATGGGGGCATCTGGGGTTGGAGATGTGAAAGGGCTGGATTGTGGGGACTACATGGGAGTGGACTATTCCTCGTGAGCAGGACATGAGAGGGTACAGTTGTCCAGATGAAAGTCCTGAAAGGGGCAAGGAGAGATTAGGACAAATTCGAGAGGTGTGAAAAGAAAAGTGTGAGAAGTGGTAAAAAGGGCTCCAGTGTGGCCTAGACAGGCAACACAGGGTCAGAGGGAGAGGCCAGGACATCAGGAGAGACCAAAGGCACTGCTTCCCTGAGCATAAGAGATGTTCTGCAGTTCCTAGGCCCCATATTGCTAGGCTTTGTGTAGAGCTACCACCAGGAACACCCTTTCCCACTGCCTTCTGCTCTAACCAGTGGTCACCCTGGCCAAGCTGAACTACCCCACATTGCCCTTTGACCTCCTACCTTCTTCCTTATCTGACCTACAACACAAGGGCAGGAGGTCACCCACAAAGGGCACAGAGGGTCCAAGACCAAACCTCGTGTAGAACCCAGACTCACGCTTCCACTCATCAAGAGTGCGGTCCACATCATCAAAGGAGTCATCATATTTCTGAGCCTTGGGCTCATCCTCAGTGTCCTGCAGGGACTCAAAGTATGGATGGGCCAATGCCTCAGCTGCTGTCACCCGCTGTTCTGCATCCAGCACAAGCATCTTTTCCAGGAGGTTCACAGCTGAAGCAAGAGAAAATCAGGCCAGGACACAGCACAAGGAGTCCTCACCCAGCAGCCTGGGACCTTGACCCCACCTAGCCCTACCCAGAGAGCTTGCGTTGGTCAAGACAGAGGCAAAATCCTTCTTCTCCAGTTCCGGAAGGCCTTTCATGTAGTTCTTGGCCTATAGAGGAAGAAGGGTGATGGGCCAGCTCCCAAACCAAGGGCCAGCCCACCCACCCAACTCCCCACTGACCTCATCACTCTGCAGCTTCTGCACAAACTCAGGAGGCGGTGTCCCTGTCACCTTCATGATCTCCTTCAGCTGGTCCAGGTCTACACCAAGGTTAAGAATACAGTGCAGGGCCAAAGGGTGGCCCACCCAGTACCCAGTACCTAGTCTTCCAAAGAAGCCTCATGGTGCCCTACATAGAAGGATACGGTCATTGCCTTTGAACAGTATCTTTCCTGTAATCATCTCTGCCATGATGCAGCCCACGGACCAGATATCCACTGATAGATGTTCCATCGGTGCCCCACAGGCAGGGGTGACATTAATACACATGAGGGGCACAGGGAAAAGGCAACACACAAGAGACCTGACATGTGACAGGGGTGTACATGGTGGGGAGGGGCACACACAAAGCACTGAACAGAGGCACTCATCAAGGATAGAGCTCCAGCTCATTAGTTTCCCCAGGGTGGGAGCTACAAGAGTCTCCCTATCAAGAACTGAGGAAGGGGGCTGGAATGGCTCAGTGGTTAGGAGCATCGGCTACTCTTAAAGATGACCCAGGTTTGGTTCCCAGCACCCACATGGCAGCTAACTTGTCTGTAACTCCAGTTCCAAGGGATCCTACACCTCTTCTGACCTCTGTGGGCATTGCATGACATGGGTACACTTACATACATGCAGGCAGAACACTCATACACATAAAATAATTTTAAAAAGGCCGGGCGTGGTGGCGCATGCCTTTAATCCCAGCACTCGGGAGGCAGAGGTAGGCGGATCTCTGTGAGTTCAAGGCCAGCCTGGTCTACATAGTGAGTTCCAGGACAGCTGGGGCTACAGGGAGACATTGTCTCAAAAAGACCAAAATAATAATAATAATAATAATAATAATAATAATAATAATAATAAAAATTTTTTAAAAAAATGAGGAATGGCTGAAGTATAGTTCAGTGGTAGAGCACTTGCATAGCATCATGAGTAAGGCTCTGGGTTCTAGTCCCAACACTATGAGGGAGGGAAGGAGGGAGGGAGGGAGGGGAGGGAGGGAAGGAGGGATAAAGGGAAAGAGGGAGGGAGGGAAAGGAAAGGAAGGAAAGAAAGAGGGAAATTTGGGAGGTGTGTGGGGCACTCTGGCATGGCTTCTTACCTGTCTGTGTGTAATGCATCCAATTCAAAATGACCTCAGGTGCCCGGTACCACCGGGTCACCACATACCCCGTCATCTCGCTGTCTGCCTGCCTGGCCAGGCCGAAGTCTAGGATCTGTGGAAGTATCAGAGAGACGAAGCTGAGGGAACACCTTGAAGAATGGACAAACCAGATGTGGTCCAGGAAGCCCTAAGAGGACCCAGCTTGAGACTTCCAGGCTGGGGCTTCTGCCACCCTTCAAGATCTGGGCTCCTCCTTGTGGCCAGTGTACCCACCCTACCCACCTTAGGAGCAGATGCTAGGGATTTGTTTTCCTCTGCTTTGCTAACCCCTGCTCACCTTTATGGGCCTCCAAAGCCCTGCCCTGGTTGAAGGATGGGGGATTATGGATGCCCCCCCCCCACTTTTACCTGAAGCAGGTATATAGTCTGCCTGGCTCCAGGGCCCATCAGTTGCTCAGCCCCTAACCAGATGCCTGGGGTCTGTCACTGTGCCTGGGCTAGAGGAGAGGGCAAGCCAGGCCAGTGGGGAAATGGAAAGGAAGCCCCCACACCCCACCTTGGCCATCCTCCCCCCACCCAGTGACACCTTCAGCTCACAGTCCTCGTTCACAGCCAGGTTGCCAGGCTTCAGGTCCTGAGAGAGGAAAGGTGGCCACTGTGAACTACCCACCAGAGCAGAGCCCTGGCAGGCCTTCACTAGGGCCACCAGATGGAACTGGCACCTTTGAGGAAGGACAGTGGGGCTGATTCCCTAGGGCAGACTTCCAACTGGGACATTATGTGCATCCCTACCACACCCTATCTTCTCCCTTACAGGTAAGAAACAGGCTAGGGTTGAGCATTTCTTTTTTTTTTTTCTTTTTGAAGCAGGGTCTCCCTGTAGCCCCAGCTGTCCTGGAACTCACTATGTAGACCAGGCTGGCCTTGAACTCACAGAGATCCGCCTGCCTCTGCCTCCCGAGTGCTGGGACTAAAGGTGTGCGCCACCACGCCCGGCTAATGAGCATTTCTATTTATACAGCTGGGGAAGGGCAGATCGTATCCCAGCCCCATCAGGACTCACTCTGTGGATGATACCAGCAGCATGGATATACTGTGGGAAAGAGGAGGTTTAGCAGCTGTCAGCTCAGGGGCACTCCAAGCCACAGAGTTCTACCCTGCCCACCCAGGAGGCTCTCCCCTCTCTGTGTAGCCACCTCAGCAAGGCCCACCTTCAGCCCCTTCAGCATCTGATAAACAAGAAACTGGATTCTGTCCTCACTCAGAGTCTCATGCTTCATAAGCTTGCCCAGGTCAGTGCCCATGAACGGCATCACCAGGTAGCTGTGGAAGCAAGGCCAGGATGTAGTCACTAGGGCAAGACTGGCTCCTGGACCTGGGCTAACACCCACTGGGCCCAGGCTCCATCTCAGCATGTGCCCCTCAAGCATCACCTCATAGGACCCAGTCCTCACTGGCTTCAGGGTCCTGCCATCCTCTGGAGTCTCTACCCTCACAATGTGCCCTGCTATGCTCCATCTACCAGCTGGTCCCACCTGTCACTCAGCAGTTACCCCACCTTCTCAACACATGCCCACAAACCCACCTCCATCACACACACCCCTTTCCAGAATGGCAGGTAGGGAGAGGGCTGCATGTCAGGGTTGCATTGGTTTGTTTTTTTTTTAATTATTTACTATTATCTTTTATTTATTATTTTTATTTTATGTGTATGCGTGTATTGCCTGCATGTAGGTGCAGTGCCGGCGGAAAACAAGAGCCTGTCGGATCCCCTGGAACTGGAGTTACCGACAGTTGTTAGCTGCCATGTGGGTGCTGGGATTCGAACCGGGGTCTTCTGCAAGAACAGTCAGTGTTCTTAACCGCTGAGCCATCTCTCCAGCCCCCCACTATTATTATTTTTAAATATTTTATTTTATTTAATTTAATGTTGTATAAGTGTTATGCCTGCATGTATGCAAGTGCTCCTGTGTTGTGCAGTGCCCAAAGAAACTAGAAGAAGGTGTCAAATTCCTTGGAACTGGAGTTATGGATGGTTGTTAGCCACCAGGTGGGTGCTGGGATTCAATCCCAGGTCTTCTGTAAGAGTAGCCAGTGTTCTTAACATCTGGGCCATCTCTCTGGCCTCTAGTTTTGTATTTTGAGACAGCCGAAACTGGCATCAAACGCTTGATCCTCCTGCCTCGACCTCCCAAGTGTTAAGATTACAGGTGTGTGCCACCACATCCCACCTCAGGGTTTTTAAATTCCTGACTGAAGGGCACCATGTGCTAAAGCTGCACCTTGAGTCTGGAACTTCAGTCTACTCAGCCATCCCGACACTGCAGGTGCTGTGAAGGCTCAATTGTCAGGCTTAGGAGAAGGCATGGCTCTACCAGGGCATGCCAGTGTCCAAGAGTCCCATGAGTATATGGACACCTGTGGTGAGGAAGGGATGGGGAGTGTGCATCCCAGCCCTCACTTGGGGACAAGACCCAAGCCAACTCAGAACCCGAAGCCAGTATCCAGAAGAGGCCCAGGCCCCTTCTTTGCCCTATAAGGGAATCTGGGGTAGGGGTTAGGGCTATAAGGCATTTGGGTCAGAGAGATGTTCAGAAGCTGGGTGGAGGGAGAGACAAATGGGACTAGCACCCAATCTCAGGGGACACTCAGGCCACAGTGAGTCTTGAACACTGCCAATCAGCAACAAAGAATCCTCCCAGACCTCTGGCTGACAACAATGCAAGTCCAGGGATCACAACCACAACCACAGGACAGGCTTGGTAGGAGAATGGGTCCTTCCTGCTGCCTTTGGTCCATCTGCCAGCAAAGGACAACAGTTCATGTTTCGAGCCACACATCGGATGCCAGGGTCCTGAGTACAGGACCTGCTTGTTCACAAATAGTAGAGCCAAGGTTCACACCTCAGGCAATGTGTAGGTCCAAGTGCCAGGTTTGGAAGGAGGAGGCAAGGCTCTACAGTATCCCTGGGTCCCAGGAGCATATGGGAGTGTGAAGTAGACTATGGTAAGAGGAGTGGGTGGGCAGTGTGCACCCTAGCCCTCAATCGGGCTATGGAGTGAAGGCCCTCAAGCCAACCCAAAACCTGAAGCCACCCAGGCCCCTCCCACCCACTCAGCCAGCCCAGGCTAGCACTCACAAGTCTGTGAAGTCATCCAGAGTTTCATCAGGAGTGAACACATCCAACAGCCCAATCACCTGGGGGATAAGTGTCAGGTGGGATGGACAGCACACAGAAGATACAGGGGCTCAGCACACCCCCAGGGAAGCACTGTGCTCTAGGCAGAAACACCCCTATAGCTGTCCTTATCTCCCCCCACTGTGCCTACTGGCAGCTTGGCCCAGCCCTAGTACATTTGCCCACAGACACAGGCTATTTCTGGATGCTGACAGCCGGGATTCTCTGGGGGAGGGGCAGCCCCAAGTTTGGGTTGGCTCCAGGTGTCTAAGCAATCTCACCCCTTAGTCTTCCCTCCCCCTTTTTCTCTTCCCAATGAAGCAGATCCAAGAACAAGGTGGGGACAGCCCCCTGGGAAGAGCTAGTATCTGGTAAATCCTTCCTGGGGCCACGACTGCTGTCTGGGCCTGGGGCAGTACTGATCTCAACAGCCTCTAGTTGAGGGAGTTGGACTACAGACAGACAAAGTGACAATGGTTGCCCAGCACTTGGAGGCGACAAGACCTCCAGGGGTCAAAGGAGGCCTCCTGGAGGAGGGCTGCATATTCAAGTACCAGGAGGGGGCAGGCAAATGAGCGGAGAGAAGTCAGGTGCACGGTGGTCAAGACAGGAGGGAGAACACCTCCAGAGTTTAAGGAACAGAGAGGGAGGCCAAGAGGCTAGGGCTCTGGCCAAGGAGGAGCCAAGGAGAGAACAGAGGGAGGCTGAGTTGGGCCTCATACTCACACACCACAGATAGGTTTGGCTTTGATCCAAAGTATTGCTGTGGAAGGGTTTAAACAGAGCTGTGATGCTGAACATGTCCTCCCAGCTGCAGTGAAGGCACAGCTGAGTGACCACTTTAATCATGGCCAGAGTTGGGTGGGGGCAGTGCAGGCATGCACAAGGGGAAGTCTTGGGGACAAATGAACCACAGGTGTAATCTGAAAGCTGAGGACCTGAGGGAGTGTGGAGGTCAAGGCAACTCCGACAAAGAACAATACTTCTGCACTGTGGCCCAGAGCTTGAGGAGAAACAGAAGCGGGCCTGTGACAGCTCTGTCTCCACTGAATGGGGCGTACAGTCTATCCTAACCTCAGTTTCCACTTGGGAAGATGAGTTACAATAGCCAACCTCCCAGGGTGTGTTGAGGCATCCCAAAGGCAACCATGCCCAGCTGGGTCAGGTTAGTAGCCTAGTATAGGACCTCTGGAAAAACAGAGGTGACCCTGGCAAAAACTTGCTCAGAGGTGGGAGATGAATGAAAAGGTCCAGAACCTTTGGCTGGACAGAGGTGCAGGATAGGTAAGTGGATGGGTGGGAGTTGGGGGCTCTGAAGATGAAGGAGGTTACATTCCTAAGAAGGCCCAGGTTTAGCAAGTGGGGAGCAGGGAGGGCTGGTGTCCACCTCAAGCAGGCTTCACATAGAAAGGAAATAAAGACCCAGAAGAGCAGCCAAGCAAGAGTGGCAGTGACCAGCAATCAAGGGGGTCAGTTTGCTGATAGTCACAGGGACTTCATTCTCCCATGGGGCTTGTGGCTCTGATGACTAAGGAGGGTTAGTACATCTGTCAGGACCAGGGCAGGTGCCCAGACTGAAAGTGGAGGGAAAAGAATTCATAGCCCCAGGAAGAATTATATCAAGAAAAAGCTCCCTTGGCTAAGAGGATTCTGATGGCCTAGTGATGTGAGACGCACAGAGGAAGCCTAGTGCAGTGCCCTAGAGAGGATTGGAAATGCTTTCTTTGACAGACCTAAAACCCTCACACTCACTCTGTGTGTGTGTAATGTTTTGCCCCTTAAACCCTTATCCACAGAGACCCAAGGTGCACAACCTCAGCACCTGGCCTTGCCCTGAATTCCCAGAAACCTGCCTGCCTAGACTGTAAGACTTAGGAGGTAGGCAGGTGAGGGGATGAAAGAATAAGAAATGAGGGCCTGGGGTTGGGGAGATAAGTGTCCCTTCCAGGAAAACACTCCTCCTACCCTGAGTATCTCCTCCCCCAACCCAGATTGGCAACAGGATTTTGAGTGAGACATGAAGGAGACTTGGACCTGGACCACACCCTGACCACTGCCTGGGCTGCAAAGCCAGAAGTGGACCAAAGCCCACACCAAGTAGCTTAAGAGAAGACCAGGATGGCCGAGGAAAAAGTAATGTCTCCCAGAAAGCGACTGGGCTCTGCCCTCACTTTACTCCCAGAATGTTGATGATAGCTTACCCAGGCTAGAGGCTGTCTGAGGGCTGAGTAGGAGGGACCAGCCCCCCTGGAAGCAGGGGTAGTGGGCAGGATCTGCAGGGGAGGGGAGGATGAGGGGGCCAACGCGCAACGTCCATGCTGCTAGAGCCATCGCGGGACTCACGTTCTCGTGGCGCATGTGTTTGAGGAGGCGCAGCTCTCGGTAGGCGCGCTTGGCGTACAGCTCAGACTGGAAGGGCCGGTACAGCTTCTTAATAGCCACCTTGTTGCCAGTGCGGCTGTCCACCGCAGAGCTGTAGGGCCGACGGCTTAGCTGGCCAACCCGCCTGGCACTCGCCAGCCGCCCCCTGCCCGGTCGGCCGCCCCGCCCGCCTTGCGCTCACCACACGGCACCGTATGCGCCGGAGCCCACGGGCTGCAGGTCCTGGTACACGGCGCGCACTTCCCAGGCCGTTTTGGTCACCTCCTGGCGGTAAAAGCCCTTGCGGGCGGGCGGCGGAGAGCTCATCCCGAGCACCGCACCCCAGGCCACCTCGCTGTAGGGCCGGCAGCGCCGCCCGCCCGCCTCCGGCGCTTCCCGTGCGCGCACGTCTATCGGGGTCGTCACCCGGGGCTCTCCGTGGCCGCCGACCCCAGTCTGGCCCGCAGCGCGATCCCTCCCCGGTCCGTGGACCAACCGGCCCCGGGGCCCCGCGCACGTGACGCCCCCGCCCGCCCTTCGGCCCCTCCGGAAACCCGAGGCGGCCTCCGGTGTTGGGCGGAAGACTGGGGAGGAGGGGAGGGAAAGCTGCCCGCTAGCTCGGTCCAGACCTGGGGCGGCAGGCGGCGCCCAGACACCCCGACCGGTTCTGCCCGCCACCCGACCCCACTCCCGCTCTACCCCCACTGTACTTCTGGTCTTAGCAGTTACCCCTGTGCACTGGAGCCCTCCCTGTCCACCTAGGACGGCAGGCAATTTGAGGCCACCACAGGGCCTCTACCCCAGTAGGTCCACCTGCCCACACCATTCACACCCCAGCGGTGCTGTTTTCCGGTTCCTAGCTCAACTTCCCATCTTCCCCAAGGATGCCCCACCCCTATACCTGTTCCATCCTTCTCCCGCCTCCCAGCAGCGAGTGTAGCCTGCGTTCTCCTTAATGAGACCCGGTAGGTTCTGTCGCCCACACTTCTCAGGTTGCATCCCCACCCCACCCCCTATCGTGGCCACTGGCTCTCCACCTGCCAACTCAGGAGCATAAGAGGGTCCTATAGGCCCTTCTAGGGCCCCTTTGCACCTCCATTCCTCTTTTTGTCCTACCTGGCATGTAGGGTGCCTACGTTGTGTTGAAAAACGCTGGTCCCTCTAGCCTACCTGCTGCCCAGTTTGAAAAGGCTGGTCCCTCTAGCCCAGTTGCTGCCCAGTTTAGCCTTCAAAGCCCAGGATGAGCTGAAGGTGTGCCTGTCCCCAGGAGGAAGAAAGGCTCCTATGTGGGCCTCCAGCTTGATATCTCCATGTGTGAGCATCCTCTCTGGGGTTTGGCTCCTGGAGAGCAAAGTCCCACTCCTGCCCACAGCCCACTGACCAAGGTCTACTCCAGGATCCCCCTGGGTTGGTGGATAACAAGAGCCCCAGAAAACCGTGCCCTGCCCTCCATGCCTGCTTGCCTAGAGCCATGAATCAGCAGCTCAGCCAGCCAGAGCAGCTTTACACCTGGTCTGCAGCAGGTATTCTGGCAGATTCACAAGCCGACAGGGCGAGCCAGAGCACCTCTGGGCCACTCAAACCACATCTGCCTGTATCTTGTGCCATTCATGCCGTAGGCAACCTCAGGCAGCCCACCCACCTTCTCCAAAACCTCACAGCTCCCCTCCACACTTTCTGTGGGGATCCCAGGCATTCAGACCATGTTCTACTCCCATCCCCCACCTCCAAACACTGGACGTGGCTCAGCCTGGTTTCCCCCTGGACCAGACTAGCCAAAGCCTCTGGAGGTCGAAGACTCAGGACAAGGGCACAGACTGTCCCCATATATGTGAGCTGTAGTTGCTGCACCTGTTATGTGAATATGTGAATCCCTGGGCTATCCTTCTTGCCCTACACTAGGAAGGAAAGGAAAACTATTTCTTCTATCCTATCCAGTCCCTGGAGGACAGGCCTTTGCTCCCAGAGACACCCCTCTACCCTGCAGCCAGCCTCACTACTGAATGAGAGGATCTGGAGTTGGGTCAAGAGCCAAGCCTGCCCACTGAATTCCAATGCACACAAGCTCAATGTGTGGGTGGTTGTTATACCATTTTCCCCTTGTAACCCTTGGGTCTTATCCCCCTGTGCTGGGGAGTCTCCTCAATTCTTGGCTCCTCTGGGAGCCAGAAATGGCTGTTGGTCTCACTGAACAATCAATGGGTACAATTAGTGCAGAGGTCTGTGGGCCAACTGGAGGTATACTAAGCACAGAAATCCAGCCCAAGGTAGCAGTTTTGGGACTCCTGCTGTGTAAAGTAGCAGTTTCTCCATGTCCAGAAAGCCCAGGGGCTCAGATTCAAATGCAGAGACTCCTTTTATCAGCAGGGTGCCTTCCCAGCATCTTCTTGACTCATCTGTGAAGTGACCACCGCCACAGATGCCCTACCATAAACATGGCCTCTGGCTCTGAAACTGCCAGGCTTTCCTGTGTGATTTTCAGGCAGTCTGGCAGCCTGGCAGGAGCCCACCTCCACATGTAAATGGAGCATCCCACAAAGTGCCTATCAGCTAAGGTTTTTACTACCACCCCCATAGTATAAAATATCCTGGTTGCCGCTCAATAATCGGAGCTGGATCACTAAGACTTGTAGCCTAGCTAAGTCACTGAATAAAGGGGCTGTACCATTGACTGAGCTGAGTTCTGTGTTTTACTGCCTACGATCCAGCCTTCCCAGAGAGAGCTGTCTCTTCGTAAGCCACGACTCACGGAAATCCAGCTTTCGCGGTCCTGGTCCTGCACCTCCCCTCGTGACCCGGCAGCTGACGGGTCCTGAACTTAGAGAGAGAGTGCATGGTGAATTGGGACGGAACCGGACCGGGCCAGCCCTGGTAGCAGAGACCCTCAGCGGTGCGGGACCCGCCGCACGTGCAGGAGACCGGCGCCACGCCCAGCAGCTGGCGCTCCGAGATCCCTGCGCACCCATATAGCAGGAGCAGTGGGAGCAATGCGATCTGGAACTTTGCACACAAACACAAACAAGAGGGAACCCCCTTTATTGTGCACCCCTGGTGCAGGCACTTGACATCTAGACCTCCCTGGGTTCCTGGTGGCAAGAGGTCACCACTTCTTCAGGGAGGAACCATACCCCCCAACATGTCTCCAAGCAGGGTCCTGCCTTTGAAGTTAGCTTTCTGGGAGAAGGAGATGAGGGATGACCCATAGAGCAGAGCACCCCAGATCAGCTGCAGAGCCGCAAAGGGGGGGACGGAGGTAGAGCATAGACAGATGTTTGTCAAATCTGGGCCAAGGTCCAGAAGCAAAAATGTCCAAGTTCACATCCATGGGTGCTGTCCGCCTAGCATCCTCAAAACTAGATAGCCCCTCTGTTCCATCAGCTTCCCAGCTGGCATTGTTCTTGTGCCTCAGGAGGCTGCTGCACTCAAGGGAAAAGCCCCAGCTTTTGTTCAAATTGATGGATCTTGGCAAATCCCAGAGCCTTAGCCTGGTCCACAGCTAGGTTCAATACCCCTTGGGCAACAGAAACTGGGAGAGGAGGTTAGAGTGTCTCCAACTAAGGTGCCCTACTAAACATGGCTGCTGTCCCTTGAGTGCCCACAGATTTCATACACACCAGTACATATCTACAAATACCCTGATCTATGTGCACCAGGAGTACACATTCATGCACATTTACCCACACACTACAGGTAAACACAAGGCTGCAGGCAGTTGTTCTGATTAGACATCTGGTGGTGGGCCCACCTTGCCACACACCCCAGAAACCCCACCCAATCAGGTGGGGCACTGGCCCTGCTTCACTTAGCTCTCAGACCTGCATGAGCCTCAGCAATTCCCAGGCCAGCCCCCGACTTCCAGGCTAAGCAGTTCCAACTATTAAGCAGTTTTAACTACTGAGACCCTACCTCAGAGTTGCCAGAGGCCCTGGCCCATTCACCCTCCTCCTACCCTATACTGTCCTCAAGAAGAAATCTGGACAGGAACATATTCCCCTGTGGCATTCAGATCCCACACAGAAATCCCAAGGAGAACCTGAGAGGACCAAGGTAGGCCCAGAGACAGTTCTGTCCAGACTCTAACACAGGCAAGCACACATGTACACACTCGTGCATTCATGTATAGACTCCCCTCAAGGCAAGGGATCCGGGGTTAGGGGTCAGGGCTGCCTGAGAGGAACCTCTTGAGGAAAACTGGCAAGCTGAGGAAAGCGGTCAGGCTCAACTCCCCACCCCTACCCCCGAGGCAAAGCCTCACTGCTCAATCTCACAGGTTCCAGGTAACTGTGTTGGCTCTGGGGGCTTGAAGCTAAGGACTTCCTGGTAAGTAAGCTCTGGAGGAATGAAAGAAAAAGGTGAGATTGTCAGCCCCAACCCAGTTTCCCACCTGCATGTGTGGCACCTGCTGCCCAGCCCACACCCACCACTCTCTAAAAGCAGCCTCAACTGAAAAGCTGAGAGCCAGAACCTGTCCTGTATTGTCCCCCAAGTGGCTATTAGACACCCCCATCTTCACCTGCCCCACTCTGGGGTGGGGATATTGTTACCCCTCCAAAACCACTCTGGGGAAATGGTGGGGAGTTTTGTTTTGTTATTTTTTGCAGGAAAGAGGCAAAACCCTGCTCTGGGAGAATGCAACCCTCAGACCCCTGGACAATGCTCCTGTCCCATGTCCTCTGCCCCATGCTTACCCTTCCACTCCTCCACTGTGCGCTCTTTGGCCTCAACACTTTCATCATAGGGCTCAGCCTCTGGCTCATCATCAGGATCATGGTACTGGCTGAAGTATGCATGAGCCAAGGCCTCAGCTGCACTGACCCTCTGGTCACTGTCCAGCACCAGCATCCTTCCAAGGAGGTCGACAGCTACAGGAGGGTCAATGGGAAGAGAGTTAGTTCCACCTTCAGGGTTGGATACAGAGCCCAGTCTAGACCCAGGGCCAGTCCTCACCCAGAGGGTTAGCTCCATGGAAGATGCTGCTGAGGTCCTTCTGGGGCATGGGGGGCAGGGACTGGATGTATGTCCGGGCCTAGGAGCACATGAGAAGGGCTTAGGGGACTGCTCGCCCTCTATCCCCCTGGCCCCAAACTGGGTAGAAAGCTTTCAAGAGAAGGCCCTGATGCATTCATTCCAACAGGCCTGGCAGAGGTCCCAGCAGGCCAGCAATCTGTTCTCCATAGCATCTGGGGGCTCTAGCCCTTCCCTTAGCCCTGATGCCCGCAGAAGCCAAATGTTCAGAGCACTCTTTGTCCACCCCTGCCTCTACTGCCTATGGCCAGAGGAGTTTGTCAGTATCTCTGAAGCGGTGGGGTGTGCTTAGCATCGACAGAGTTCTCATGCTGCCCAGGTTCCTTATGTGATGCCCATCTACTTCCATACCACCCCCTCCTCAAGGTGACCGTGGCTTGGTCAGGAGAGAGAGCTGGTGCCTGGCTGGACACTAACTTACGTGCTCCGAGGATATCTTTGCCAGAACCTCAGGGCTGGGTGTGCCCACCACCTCCATGATTCGTTTCAGCTGGTCAATGTCTACCTGGCTCAGGAAACACCCAGTGGCCAGCTATGGATCTTTCCAGTCCCAGCCCCTGGTCCACTGTTGTGTTGTGGCTCAGGATAGGGAGCCCCATGTGATATGGAATAGAGCAGGGGTGAGACTTTCAAAATGGGCCAGAGTCCACACCCACCCTGTGGAAGGGGACCCCAACTTGATCCTGCTCCCCAAGGATACAGTCATTTCCAGGAAAGAGAGCCTTTCCCTGAAGCAGCTCAGCCATGATGCAGCCTACAGACCAGATGTCCACTGTTGGGGGAGGGGTGAAGAGCTTCTTGTTAGTCTGACACCCCAAATCCCTCCTTATGGAGCTGAGAAGCCAGTCCAGTGACCCTCAATTACATCCAAAGACCAGCAAAGTCCTTCCACTATACCCTGCCCCGAGAAGGGGTATGAGGATACCCAAAACCAACCAAGTCCTTCTGAAAGGTCCCACAAGTCCTTGCTCCTCTCCCAGTGTTCCAGGTAAGCCCCTGGAACAGCATGGCTCCCCACTCCCACCACTATGTCACCCTTCCTAGACCTTGATGTGAGCTCTGCCTGCCCACCCTGATCAATGCTGCCATTGTTGAGGATCAACAGCACCTGTCTGGTTGTAGTGCATCCAGTTCAGCATGATCTCTGGGGCCCTGTACCAGCGTGTAGCCACATATCCAGTCATCTCTTCGTCAGCCTGGCGGGCCAGCCCGAAGTCCAGGATCTGGAGGACCACAGGCACTCTAAGGCACCTTACCTCCATGTGCTTGCTTCCCCCATATCCACCCAACGCCCTGTCCTTACCCTGAGCTCGCAGTCCTCGTTCACAGCTACATTGCTGGGCTTCAGGTCCTACAGGGTGGACAGAGTGTGAGCGCATCTGCGAACTGGGGCAGAATGCACCTCACCTCACCCCAGCTGCTGCACCTACCCGATGGATGATCCCTGCAGAGTGGATGTACTGCGGGGAGGGCAGACTTGGTGAGCCCAGGCTGTGTCCCATCCTGTCCCAACCCAACACGGTCAGAGGGACCCACGGAGCCCACGCTCCCCACCTTCAGCCCGCGCAGCAGCTGGTAGGTGAGGAACTGAACATGCTCATCGCTCAGTGCCTGACACTTGACGATATTGTTCAGGTCGGCGCCCATCAGTGTGGTCACCAGGTACCTGCACCAGGGGCCAGGAGTCAGGACAAGGTCCCGCCGTCCCCTCCCCGACTAAGTTCCCAAGGACTAAAGTCCCAAGACCACCGCCGCGCCTGCCCAAGCCGCTCACACTTCGCTGAAATCCTCGATGCACGTGGCCGGCGTGAAGACGTCTAGAAGCCCTATGACCTGGGCAGGGAACCGAGGCAGGACAACAGCTCAGGTGTGGGCAACGCCCAGCTGGTCCAGGTCTCTCTCTCTCTCTCTCTCTCTCTCTCTCTCTCTCTCTCTCTC